AAGGAGATTGTTAGATATTTTCGACTGACTGTACAGAGTCAAATCTTTTGTCATTTAAATTGTTCTGTAGAGACTGAAACAAATGAAAGTCCAAAGTTCATAGCAATAAACTTAGCAAATGATTTAAAACAATCATTCCACTTCATGTCAATATAAAATGCGATACATAAAAAAAATGCAGTGAGTTGTTTTCGTGGAGGTTAGTATCAGCCATACTGATAGGAGTCCAATAAAAGGCACTAATAGTTAATAGCGGAAATTTTCGTTTTAGAAGTATTAAAATTAACAAGTCACTTATTGCCCCAGTAAACAACAGATTGTAGGTCATTTTAGATTAGATGTCAGTTTGATTTTATCGAACCGAGTTGACTTACTATAAAGACAGAAGCAAATACTTGTGTCATCATCATATTTACCTAGCCGGCAATTGATGCCATCAAGAATTTCTTTTATGAAATTAAGTAACAGGGTGGATCAAAGAATAGAGCCGCGGCGAGCGCTCGCATTACTGCAAAGAGATCTAGAAAAGTGGCCGTTCAAACAATTTTCATAAGGCTTTTGATAAGAAAGATTGAATCAACCTCAAGAAACGACTAGAAACACACTGGCCCTTCAACTTGTGAAGAACACCAGCATGTAAAAACCTTTTTGGACACTCGGAAACAGACAGGGCATATGTATACATTTGGTAGTTTTAGTTAACAGAGGGACCTATGATTACATTTAGGTACTTTCTTGAGCACCGGGAATATGTCTATCTTTTTTAATAACAGTGTAACTCGGATTGTGTAAATGTTTTTTGAATTTTAGTTTAAAATATATCTATGTCTACCTTTTTGAATTTTTGTGTAAACTTGGCAAAAGTCGACCTTTTTGGATACAGGTGTAAATGCGACCTATGCTTACCTCTATGGGCTCTTCTATCTTTTTATGTACCATGTCCTTTCAGGACGTAGGCGATCATGGCTCTCCACCTCCCTCTATCCCTTGTAGCTCTCAGCAAGTTTCTTCCATCTGCCACCTCCCCCAGACCAAGTTCTGTTATCCACTTGCTTAAGCCCGCCAGGTATGTCTAGCGTTGTTTTCCCTTGTCTCTCTTTCCCTCTATTCGACCCATGAGTATCAGATTCTCCAGGCCCTCCTTCCTCATTAATTGTCCCATAAACTTTAGCTGCCTCTTCCTTATGTTAGGTATAAGCCTCCTCCTTGTTTGCAACCTATCTAAGATCTTATCGTTGCTCACACGCTCGGTCTATGATATCCTTAGCATCCTTTTGTAGAACCAAATTTCCGTCGCCTCGAGTCTCTTCTTCATCTTTGAGAAAATAGTCCAAAATTCGCTGCCGTAAAAAAAAAAAAACAGGTGTCACGTAACGGCTAAGTATTCTTTTCTTTGTTACCAAATAAATCCTCTTGTTTCGTAATACTCTACCCAGCTTTTGGAATGTGTTCTTTGGCCATCCCAATACGTCTACGGAGCTCAGTGTCGCACTTACCGTCCTCGGTTAAGACGTTTCCCAGATATTTAGACTTCCGCTTCTGCTTGATTCTAGTGTCCCCGACCTGAAAATCATATTTCAGGCTCATCCTCTTACTGATGACCATGTATTATGTCTTGTAGTTTATGCTTAGTCCTTTCTTCTTGCTTTCCTTCGCTACCTTCTGCAGGAGATTTTGTAATATCTTTTCCGTGTCTGCTATCAGTACTGTGTCATCCGCATATCTTATGTTGTTAAGATTGTGGCCGGCAATGTTAAATCCTGGTATGATTTCCAGTTCTCTCAGACTTGCCTCGCAATATAGGTTGAACAGGTCTGGTGAGAAGACACATCCTTGCCTTACATTCCTTTCTATTTTTGTATATTCACTGAACTCGTTCCCTATGCGCATGCATGCTGTTTGCTACCAGTATAGATTCTTGATTATTCTGATATCCCTCCAGAATATATCAAGGTTGCTAAGAAGTTCCATCAGATCCTTGTGGCGTACTTTGTCGAAGGCCTTTGCGTGGTCTATGAAACATAGGTACACGTCTTTCTGCATCTGTGTCGCTCTTTCTGATAACATTCTGAGCATAGCCCAAACCAAATATATGTCAACCTGTTTAGATTTTAGTCCAAACTTGATCTATATTTTTTTGGGGGGACTTTCATGAAAACGAGGCCAATATTGACTTTTTTGGATACGAGTGGAAATCGAATCTGTTTCTATGAATCTATCAATTCATTGTTATATCTGTTCTATAAAACGTCTATTCGACATTATATAACCCAGCAAGTGGTTGATATGTTGTTAAATTAACCCAACTAACAAAAGTAGGTTGTTTTTTTTTTGTGTAAGCATTATCTTGCAACTGTTTGTTTCAGATGCTAAGCGGCAGGGAATCAGGAGTATTTACTATAATGCCCAAAAAAGGAAATAAAGAGGAAAATCAACTGAAGAAAGAGAGAAAAGGAGAATGAGGGGTGGAGAGGGATAAAGAGAAAGAGAGATAGATAGATAAAGAGAGTAAGAGAACAAAAAAAGAGAGGATGTCAGAAAGAGGTTAAGAGTGAGAGCAAGTGGAAAGAGAAAGTGAGAATGAGTAAGTAAAACGGAGAGGGAGAAAGAATGAAAGATTAAGAGATATATATATAAAGATAAAATGAGAGATAATGGGCGCCAAAGAAAGAGAGGGTGGGGATAAGAGAAGTTGATTATGAGAGAGTGAAAGAGAATGGGTTAGTAAAAGGGAGAATGTTAATGATCAGGAGAAGCGAGAGAGATATAAAGTGAGAATGAGAGAGAATGAGAGATGACGTGAGAGAGTGAGAGAGAGAGAGTAAGTGAGAATGAGAAAGAGAGAATTAGTGAATCAGAGAGAGAGAGAGAGAGAGAGAGAGAGAATGTTATTATAAAGTAGAGGCTGTATTTCTGCTCGCTGTCCTGAAATGCAAACGCCTCTCTAACTCCCTATCCGATAAAAATCTTTCACTTCTAACCAGGTCACTCTGACCGAACGGCAATCATCCTTTCTTCTTCTTCTTCTTCTTCTTCTTCTTCTTCTTCTTCTTCTTCTTCTTCTCTTTTTGATCCAGAATCTCTACTTCCCTTTCTTTATCTTATCTCTGAAATTATCCACTCTTGGCAAGATATCGATTCCAGAAACCAACCGCTGCCGTCCGCCTTAACGACATCCTCATCTCTTTCCCTAACTCCCCTTGCCAAAACAACATCTCTTCAAATATGTTTATTTAATAGCTCTTAGCTTTTACTTTCGCCATCATTATCGTCCCAATTGCTAATGCTGTCTTTTTATTTTGCTCAGAAAGAATTACTTTCTAAACGAAAAAAAAAAAATTCAATGTTGATCTTCTGGTATAAGTTAAATAAAATGATAAAAGGTATTAATAGATTCATATCCCAATAGAAACTCTTTATAGGGCTTCCATGGACACACACACACGCGCACACACACGTACATATATATATATATATATATATATATATATATATATATATATATATATATATGTATGTATGTATGTATGCATGTATAAGGAATCATGAAGATCATTACCATTAACATCTTTATCGACACCATTCTCATGGTTGCTCTTCATTGAAACAGTGAAATAATGTGAAGAACAGCCATATTTCCCTCTCAAACACCGGTTTTCGTACGATCAAATGCAAAGAAGAATCTGCAGTGTTATTGTCCCTGATTTGGCATCTCGGTCAGTCCTAACGTAACTTCCCTGTGTCGTTTTTATAAATACCTTTATTGTAATTTTTCTGAGGAACTTTCCTTAATAATAAAATTGCTATTTAATTCACCACCCCGCCCCAAACAAATTGTACATATAGGAACTAGTTTAGGATTTGTCGTATTTTTAATAAAAGAATCTCTTTATTTTGGTGTAAGGAATATTTTATGTTTAGGAATCGTAGCTAGTTAAAGAAGATTGAAGACCAGCCTTTCGCTACCCCATTTTTGGCCTTGTGTAAAATTTTTGTACTTTCAAAATAAATATTACTTTCCTCTGTGATAACTAGACTTTATTAATTAAAGCGCAGGTGGCGAGCTCTCATCATTTTATAGTTGAATTGGCTAAATGTAATCGTAAGTTCTCTGTTAACAGTTTCACTTCCGGCTTCTTGCTTCCTTGATCTTGGAAACTGATCTTTGATCTTGGAAATTGGTTTTGGCTGGAGCTAAGGTCAAAATGTGAATCATGGTATTTCCCTACTGCACATATCCTGACAGCTTCTTTTAGCCAAACTACTCGCTTATGAAACTGGCTTCTTGCTTTCAAGTCAACTTTTATCTTTAAAACTTTAAACGCAATGTCAATCGTTATCTTCTGTCTAAACTTTTGTTCTTTTATCGTTCTTCCTTCTTGTGAAACTCTCTTCAGGCTTCATGATTTCCTAGTCAACTTTGATCTTCGAAACTGGCCCACGATTTTGGCTGGAGCTTAGGTCAAAATGTGAATCATGATATTTCATCATGGTCATATCCTGACAACTTCTTTTATGCGTACTACTCGCTTATGAAACTGGCTTCTTGCTTTCAAGTCAACTTTTATCTTCAAAACTTTAAACGCAATGTCAATCATTATCTACCGTCTTCTTAATCACTTGTTCTTTTATTGTTTTCTCTCCTTAATAGTACATTTTTTTTTCATATTTTGTAACACCGAGTAACCTCTTGCGTCCTAGTGGCTTTATTGCCTTGCTTGGGGTGAAATGAGTGAAAAAAAAAAGAAAGCATAATATCTATTATGTTACTTCAATTCTAGCCGATTCCATTGTGCCATTTCGTTTGCGTGTTTGAAGGAATGTAACTTTGAAGGAATGTAAAAAGGTCACCGTTTTTTTTTTGTGCCATATGAACACGTGACCGAGCGGTTAAAACGCTCACTTTCCGACCATCATAATCTCACCACGACTGTCGATTTGTCTACTTGGAGTTGACTACGTGCTGACGATCGGCGGAGACGTTGCTAGCGGCCAGCGCTTACGGTTGTTGGAACGCCGTTTCTCTTACGATCATCGAAGTTAAGCAACGCCAGAGCCTGGTCAGTATCTAGATGGGTGACCGCTTGGGAATACTAGGTGTTTTAAACTTAGATGTACGGATGGATAATGATACTCAATTGTAAAGCGGAGAGCCGAGTTCCAATTCCATTATGTTCACTTTCTCAAAACATAGCCTTGGGGAAGGCATGAAACCAACTCTAATTGCCACCAACTATAGATTAATTAGTAATACTTGCATCAGAAAATCATTATTATCTCCAAATAATTCATAAAATCTAAAAGTATTTTCTGTCTTTAAATAACGTGTAAAAGTTGTTATACTGTTAAAAACAATTTAATTAATCAATGAATCAAACGGAGGGGATGGCCCTGTTTGAAATTGCTATTTGGCAGTCATCCATGATTCTGTTAGCTGATTTGACTGGTTCGTTTAACGGCATATCAACACCTTATGGGTCATTTAATACCGAAATTTAATTTTCTTGGGTGTTCTGAAATAATAAAAATATGATATATTATTCTGCTTTCACAATTGAATACATGGTAGATGATACTCAGATTTTGTGCATACATGTTTTTGGAGCATGATTACTAGAGAGGGTGATTTGTAAGTTTTATGTTGTAGTTTTGGTGAAATTATATTTTGGAATACAGTTTGATTTCTTTAAGCAATTGTAGGATATCATATGTCATAAAAGAAGTCTCTAACGATTATTTAATGCTGAAATTTTGAAAACAATTTTTTGGCTTCAACTAAATATATTTTTAACGTAATTGTATGCCCTCAACTACAGATGAAATGCATTGTTCGTCATTTTGCTATAAAACGCATTATTAGTAATTCTATAAAAGTGTATTGCTGGTCATTTTGCTTTAAAAATATTTTCTTTTATTGAAATATATTTCGTATGTTTTTTTCCTAAATTTGATAGCATTTTATCTCTATTTATTTATTTTAAAAAAATCCCCCAAAGTAAGGCCATAATGCCACTAAGATTAAAGGTGCTACTGGAAGTGAAAGTGGAAAAAAGTTTAGAAGGAGCCGGAAATCCAATCCTAAACAAGAAACAAGGGATAAACTCTACTCCTGTTCAAAATACTATGGAGGAGTGTGAACCGGATGATAGGCGAACATATCGATTCCTTGATGGATTTGTTTTATATATAAGTTACATTTAGTCTTGGAGAATTAAATAATTGCAAACGCAATAATTTCAAACGTGTAGCCAACTGAAAATGTTGTTCTATAACGTAATTAAGATTTAACAAAACAATAAGTTTATCCTAAATTTCCATCGGAAGCACAAGTTAACTAAATTGTAGAGGGAGTTCCTAACGTGTCCCTATTGAAGCAATTTAATCCACCCGTAAGCATTTTTTCCTTCGGCAGCCGACGCATATCAGTCCACCCCCATCCACAAAAAAAATTAGTATCATTTCCCAAGAAAATCTGAGAATAACCTGTGAGATCTGTTTTTCTTTGTGCCGGCTCCTTTCACGAAGGGGTCGATCATATCTCTCCACAACTTCCTGTAGTTTCTCGCTCTTAGGAAGGTTTGCCTTTGGTTATCGTTCCTTATCCCTGTTCTAACAACAGAGACTAATTATGTAGTTTATACTTCGTTTTTCCCGTCTTTATTTCCTGTGTCGTGTGTTTGTCAAATTCTCCAGGCGATCTTTCCTCATTATATGCCCTAGAAAGTTTAACAATCATTTTATGATTCTAAGTATGTCATTTGTTTCTATTTAAAAAAAAAAATTGTTGTTGCTCACACGTTCGGTCAAACGTATTCCCAGCATCCTTCTGTAGAACCACATTTCTGATACGCCAAGTCGTTCCCTCATTTCCGAGGGAGGAGTCCAGCATTCAGTTCTATAAAGTAGGACCAATCTTACATAATAGTTCAGCACCCCTACCTTTCTTTGTTTCTAACGGAATTTTTCTTTTAATTAATTCATTGCTTAGCTTTTGAAAGACATTTTTCGCTGTTCCAATGTGTCTTCAGATTGTGGTATCTCATTGTGCGTCCTATCTTAAAAAAAATATCGTAATTAATTAAATTGTCGTAATTGGCTGATTTTGGTTCATCCAATTAGTAGTTCGCCTCGTCATTTCAAAATCGAGTGCATGTTGCATTTTGAAAACCTTTATTCTAGCGTTTCTTCACGTCATGAATGAAGAAGATACTTATTCTTTTGGTGTGATAATTTACTTTGATGGAAAAAAATAAGACAGAAAAAACAAATTTCTGTAAAGTGGATGCACCCATGTTACCCTGAACAGTCACAAGTCCACCAGATCCAAGTCAATTGGGTTTTAATTTATAGAGAGCTCATAAAGATAGCATTTATCGGCATCATCCAATGAAATGAGAAAATAAGATAAAAAATAAAAACGAATGAAATTATTTGTGTTGTAAGCAGTTCCAATGTTACACTTTTAGCAGTATCTGAACCAAAACTAATATTTAATCTCATGTCTGAAAATAATTCAATATTCGTCTTATTTTTCTTAAATTTGATTTATCTAAAAAGACCTATTAACATACATTATTATGTATGTTAATAGGTCTTTTTAGATAAACATTCAAAATTTTGTATTTAGCATATCCCACCTTTTCCAAAATCTTACTTATTTTAAAACGCAGATTGTGTGTGTGTGTGTGTATGTGTGTGTGTCTGTACGTTTATATATTGGATTGGATTTCCTACATTTTTCAACCGATTTCAACAAAACTTCACAGGACTACGTAAAATTACCTTGCGGTGGTTCTGACAGCGTCATAAATGGGAAAAACACAATTGTTTTTGCACGAAATCAATTTGAAAACACGATTAAGAGGCATTAATGAAAGGGGGACAACTCATATCGAGTTATACTTATTAATATCAAGTTATCGAGTTATACTTATTATAAAACCCAGGTTCGTCGTTTGTGTGTGTGTGTGTGTGTGTGTGTGTGTTGTGTGTGTGTGTGTGTGTTCCTTTATATATGGGATCGGATTTCCTACATTTTTCAACCGATTTCAACAAAACTTCACTTTGGCAGGTAGTGTTTCTTATTGTCTTGCACACTTTTTACTTTATTTTTACATTCAGAATGCTTTAAAAATTCCATTTACAAGACAATTGTTTATAATAAAATTCTATTCAATCGGTAGACTCATAACGATTTAAAACAATGTTTTTGTTTGAGTTTGGGTTTGACCAATTCGTAAAATAAATAAATAAATAAATAAAACTAATTAAGACATGCGTGCCCGTCAACCTTAAACAATAATCATTGTCAATTTTATTTTTCAGTCTTTATGATGGTCGATACTTGATCTATCTCTTACTATTACATCCCCGGGCAACGCCGGGCTCTACTGCTAGTAGTAAATATGATCTGGAATTTGAATGAAAGAAATGATGGAAACCATCCTGAACAGATCATAAACAATCAGGGTGTGGAATTAGTAAATACCAAACACTTCAAATACGTCGGTATAGGGATCATTTATAACAGATTTAGTAGAGATTAATTGAAGATGGAATAGACGGTGCTAAAGATAGTTTCGCCCAACACCGTCAATTGCCACAGAACAAAAAACATTAGCATAAAAACTCGAGTCATGTTCGTAAACAGTCTTGTCAGATATAGATTTTCTTTCGAATGTCATATCTGTTCTGCTGTGTGACAGTGAATTTTGAAAAAAATTCCTGATAGATAAAAAGAGATAGAGTTCTACAGACTGATGCTAAGATATCCAAAGGTACATGCGAATAATGAATCATATCTTTCAAAAACTAAGCGAAACGTTTAGAAGCCTGAAAATAACATAAAAAAGAAGTGTGTGAAAACAGATATGTAATATCAATTCTCCTTTATGGCAGTGAATTCTGGACAATTTCCTCACAGGTGAAGGTGAGATTGAAGCAAGGAAAACAAAGAAGAGAAAACTGCACTGTTACGTAATATCAACCCCCCTATATGGCAGTGAATGCTGGACAAATTTCAGACAAGTGAAGATGAAACTTGAACCAAGGGAAACAAAGAAAAGAAAGCTGCACTGTTATGTAATATAAATCCTCTTATATGGCAGTGAATGCTAGACAATTTCTTCACAGGTGAAGGTGAGACTTGAAGCAAGGAAAACAAAGAAAAGAACGCTGCACTGTTATGTAATATAAATCATTTTATATGGCAGTGGATGCTGGACAATTTCTTCACAGGTGAAGGTGAGACTTGAGGCAAGCAAAACAAAGAAAAGAAAGCTGCACTGTTATGTAATATAAATCCTCTTATATGGCATTGAATACTGGACAGTTTTCTTAAGGATGGCGAAGAAACTAAAAGCGCTAAAGTAGATCTATAGAATGATGCTGAGAAATCCGAGGGTACATTCGAATAGTGGTAATGCCTTCCAAAAACTAAAGATCGTATTACATTCAACTACTCGGAGTATGGATCAGCTATAAAATATTTAATATATGCGATAAGGAAATCGTGCATATACCAGGGTGCGCTGAAGGTAGTTTCACCCAACACCGCACATTGCTACAAAACCAAAACATTAACCTAAAAACTTGAATTATATTCTTAAATAGCCTCGTCAGGTCTAGACATTTAGAAATAACTAAACTGTCAGTTGTATACAACCGCTTTCTTAGTCATTGATTTAAAATGGCTACGAACGAATGGACCCCGTAGTTCTTTGTGAGGACCATCCCTTTTCAGACCTCTATATTACTGGCGCTACAGCATCATAACCAAGAACTGTATGAAATAACAGACGCATCATCACTTGAATAATTCCAACCACAGCAATAGCTAGAATGGATAGCCTGAATTATTCCAAGAGAAAATAAGGGATTAATCAGGATATTGTCATTCCATCCTATTTCGAACAAAGGGTTAGAAAGGAATCCCCCATCAAAGATTTTAAGACTGTCATGAGTTACTAGACTTGAGAAACCTATTATTCTAAAAAATAATTATTTTAATAGAAAGATTTTGTAAATTTCAACTAACAGTATCACTGGCTGCTTGGTCAATGAAAGCCAAATGTTTCCTTATAAGGAAGCGATTAATATCACC